GGGGGGGGGGGGGGGGGGTCGTCACTCCTCTTTTAGAGTCACTTATACCCAGCGTCCCTTTACGAAGCTCAAGAAATGTGAAGCAGAATTACCAGTCTCTTGGTCATCAAAAGATATATTTCCGGAGACTTTAACGCACGGCAACAAAAACAAACTAAAATTTATTGTTGCAACCTGTTTGAGCTTTTACTCTCTGGTTTTTATTTCCCTCCTCTTTCTTTCCTTTCTTCTCTATCTTCACTCGATTTTTGGCTGGTAGGGAGGAGGGGGGGGGGGAGAGAATACCATCTTTCCCCCTGAAACCAGCAATGTCTGAATGGGGTTCATCAGTGCTACGTCTATCTTAAAAAAAATCTCACTTGTTCCGAAGGGAACTGATGAAACTACCTATTAACATAGAAACGTTCTTGGTGGATGTCCGTGTTGCATATCGTCTCCAATGGGTCATACTCAGCGACCGGGTCGTAAGATACCGAGGCGACGGGATGACGGATCCCACTATAGAGAGTGTGTGGTTGTAACATTTTTTGCCCGATCTGTCAACTTTACTTTCCGCTCCGGATGAGTTCCCGAGTGCCACCTTCGTAGTTCCATCTTTCTTTATTCATGTGTCGTGGTCTTCGCTTGTTTAAATTTGAATAAAATAAGTCGGCCTACATACTTAATCGCTGGCATGGCGGTGCGCCCTCAGATTTTCCTCTGACTCACCAGTCTGTGCCGGCCGTGTCCGCTTGTGATCTGTGTGTGAATCACGGGTTAAGTTGCGGCTCTGGTTGTGGGCGGGGGGGGGAGTATTGGGGATAAATCTCATTTAAATCTGAATGTGGGTTGTTGGGTTGGGTGCACCTGCTGAAGCCGTGAGCAATTCAGGGAAATGTAGATAGTTAGACTCTAAGATGGATGTCTGGAACAAGATTTGATTTCAAGGATTGCTCCTTAAATTTTTGCCACCCCCTCCATACATATATTACATTCATTCCAGTTGCTTTTACAGCGCGCCCGGGCGCTCTGCGACACCTAATCGCCACTCTTGTGTATCNTTGACTCGATCCACTGTGGGCCGGTTGTTTGAACGGAGCATGAGCAGGCACGGAGCTTGAGTCGGATCGGTGGCGCGTAAACCGGGCATTTGGGCGTTCATTCATAAAAAGCGCCCAAGCCCACGACTCAAGGAGTCACGGGGCCAGCTCATCGTTGTCGGACCTCCCTGTCTTGATTAACTCGCGTTAGGGAGGCTTGGACAGGGTGTCTATTGGTCGGAAAGAGTACGGATACTCTGAAAAAGCACGGAATTTAGAAAACTTGTACGGAAGTACGCACTGAAAAAAAAACTCCGGCCGTGGGAGCCGCAATTACGGGCTATATTGACGTACCGTCCGTTCCGGGCTCAAAGGCCGAAAATTCCGGCTGCTGGAGCCGTAGCTGCGATTGCTAGGGGTTCAGAGGCCGAAGCTACGGCTCCAGCAGCCGGAATTTTCGGCCTTTGAGCCCGGAACGGCCGGTATGTCTATATAGCCCGTAATTGCGGCTCCCACGGCCGGAGTTTTTTTTTCAGTGCGGGAAAGGTATGGAAATTCGAAATTTTCGTGATAAACTCCAAAATGTAGTCCCAGGGACAACAAAAACAGAGACAGCTACCGATAGCTGAATTGAATGCGAGTTTTTTTTCCTAACACTATTCTGCTTTCATTTTTCGGAATTTTGCTGATTTTTGGGTTTAGAATGATTCTTTAGGCTCATACGCAGGGGCTATCGTCCTATTTTTTGCTAAAAATTCAAAATCGACCGAGATTTTTTACCTAATCGATGCGCTATATTGTATGCTTGTTCGGCCACGTCACTTGAGCTTGACGAATCACCTTAAGGAATTTGCTTCGCACTCTGCGGGAAATTCATCGAAACTTTTGCAAAAATTCGCACTACCGTTTTTATGTACAAAGTTAAATTGCTTAGTTCAATTTGGCGATGGCTGATGCGACTTGGTTCCTTTCTGCAAAGACGAGGCGTTTCCGGTTTCGGGTCCGTCATTTCCGTCACGCCGCCTAACTCGGAGCCCCGTGTTCAAACACGGGATCAGCCATCGGTCGGCGGGTATCGCACGCGCTCGAGCGCGGCAGCGCGCGTGCTGACCGCNGGGGGGGGGGGGGGGGGGGGTGCTGGGGGTGCCGAGGTCCCCTTCCGTTCTGCACGGGCTCACAAATTGGTCCGCCTTGTCACCGCGAAGCGACGCGACGCCCGACGCCCGAAGCAGCGTCATCCGACAACTGCTATGCCCACTCACCGGTGTAAGCGCACCTTTCGGCGCATCTTCCTTGCTGCAGTGCTGCCACGTCTCCCGTTGTTCGATATTTTTCAGCGCTGAAGGGCTCGTCAAGAGCGGGAGGTACGAATTTCACATATTCGAGAAGCTCGCGCATTGCCTTGAACTTGATGAAAAATTCCCTGAAAAAATTTCAGCTCTCGGGAGTCTCTCGCATCTTTCAGGGTAAAAAACTGACCCCCGTGGACCCCCTGAAATCCCTCTTCACCTGAATGTTTTAATGTTTGGAGGCCATGGATGAGGCCGGTGCTAAAAAAATGGGGGCAGCCTTTTTCGTGAGTTACGGTTCGTAACTGTAACCACAATTCAAAAAAGACGATGATCATCCCCAAAAATCTATTT